AGAAAAGTTTTGCAAAGACAGTATAGAGAGTTTTCATATACCCCTCACACAGTTTCCCCTACCATTAATATCTAACATTACCATGGGTACATTTGTCAAAACTAAAAAACTAGCATGGGTACTATTCACTGAATTCAACAATTTACTCAGATTTCACTAATTTTTCCATTAATGCTCCTTTTATTGTTTCAGAATCCAGTACAATTTTAAATTCTTTTTAGGTTAGAAAGGATTCACATTATTCAAAATTTGTGCAAACTAATAACATTTAAAAATCATGCTGCTTCAAATTTGCAACATTTAAATTGGTATGAAATATAACTGTGCAGTTTATCGAAAGACTTTCCATAGGGTTTAACACCAGGATGGCTGAAGAATTAATCTACTGAAGGCCTAAGCCAGTGTTGTTCAAGTTGGAATGGGGAAGGAAATGGAGGAGTGTATTCCGTACTGGCTTTCAGTGGAAGATTTCATTGAAGAAAATCACTTATAAGAAAATCCAGGGGGGAAATATTAGAATCATTTAAGAAATACTAAAAACAAAAGAGCCAGAATAATTTCAGAAATACTAAAATCAAAAAAGCCAAGAACTAGATATGATCATGTTATAAGAAACACTCAGAAAATTGCCTCAGGAATCATTTTTTTATATAAATAATTTAAGCTTTTTACTGCAAAGATCATACAAGCAAACTGTGTAGCTAAGTACATTGCAAAATAGTTCCCATTTGTGTTACTATCAGTAAAATATAAAGAGCCCTTACATGTCAACAGAAAAATGGGCAGAGAGTGTAGTCAATTTATGGCCAATTAACATAGGAAAAAATATTCAAACTTCTTTTTAAAGAATGCAAATTAAACCGCAACATATTTTTTTTAAGCCCATCAACTTGGTAATGATAATGCATAGTTCAGGCTAATGTGCAAAGAACAAGGCACTCTCATACACTGCTAACAGGAGTAAAACTTAAAGTTTGGGGAAGGAGGATATAGCTCGAGTGGCAGGGTGCATACTTAGCATGCCTGAGGTCCTGGGTTCAATCGCCAGTACCTCTTCCAAATATAAATAAATAAATAAACCTAATTACCTCCCCCTCATAAAACAGGGGAAAAAAAGACTCATAAAAAAAAAAAAAACTTGAGTTTTTTTAATGACAATATAAAGCCTGGCATCATATGTGTTCAGTTTCCTATTGCTGACTAATAAAACATTCCAAAAAGTAGTGGCTTAAACACACAACAATGTGTCATGTCTCACATGTCTGTGAGTTGGCTAGGTGGTCTTATGTATCATAATGTTGGCTGGGGCCACTGATGCAGCTGCACTCAGCTGGGAGACCAGCCAGGAATGGAATGCCCAAGGCTTCCTTTCTTCTCCACATGGCCTTTCTTTCCATTTGGACTCTCATCATTTAGGAGCCTAGCCCAAAGATCCTTCATGTCAGCTGGATTCCAAGAGAGCAAAAATAGAAACAGACAGACACCTGAAGGACTGGGTTTGGAAGCGATGGTTTGCAGGAGCCCATCTGTACAGGCTCATGACGATCATTTATGCATATCTCTTTCCAACTCCATGTTCAGTGATACCACATTAGTAGCTTGAAAGCAATCATGGTGGGAGATTTATACCACAGAAACTGGCAAATGCTATAAATCAGGGCTTTAAAATTTTCTTTCAAAGAGCTGATTTTCCAGAACACTATTTCCTGAAAGTCACACAGTTTCTCATCCATCACATTCTGTTTATCCAAGCAAGTCACAAGGCCAGCCCAGAGTCCCTGTGGGAGTGGAAACACTCCACCTCTTGCTCTGAGGAGTGGCAAAGAATTTGTGGGCATATTTAATCCACCACAGTCTTTCCTCTGGCCACAAATTATTTATATTCTTTCCCTATGGAAAAGCGAAATGAAGCAAAACTGACCACCTCCCAAGATACCTCAGAGTCTCATCTCATGAAAGCATGAGGCTCAAAGCTCAACATTTCACAATCTGCACTACGCCCAGATGTGGATGCAGCTCCTCTGGATCGAGAGAGCTGTGGACTGTTTTCTGTCCCAACTCCCTCCCATCCTTTCACCCCTACCAAGCATACAGTGGTGAGCAAGGGACAGAAAAACCACAATAGAAGCTCCCATTCCACAACCTGGAGAACAGGTCTATAGCAATTCTGAAATCCACCTGGACATAAGTTGTCAAATTCTTGACTCCCAGGTCCGGGAGCCCCGCTCGGGCTGAAACATCCAAAGTGACTCCTCACCCTCCTGGGCTTCTCTACTTGACCTCTCTTCATTCAGGAATCTGGACCAAAGTTCTTTACAGCATGCCAGCTGGCTTCCAGAGAGCAACAGTAGAAACTGCTATGTCTCTTAGAGGCTAGGCCTGGAACTGGAATATTGTCATCATACCTAGAGTTGCCAGATTTAGCAATACAGATAAAAACACAGAATGCGCTGTGAAAAGATGCTCAGTATTGCTAATCATTAGAGAAATGCTAATCAAAATAACGGGATTATCACCTTACACTTATCAGAATGGCTATCAACAAAATGTCTACAAATAACATATTTGCAAGGATGTAGAGAAAAGGGAACCCTTGTACACTATTGGTGGGAATGTAAATTGGTGCAGCCATTATGGAAAACAGTATGGAGATTCCTCAAAAACCTAAAAATAGAACTATCATATGATCCAGCAATTCTACTCTTCCATATATACCTGGAAAAAATGAAAACACTAATTCCAAAATATACATGCACTCAATATCATAGCAGCACTACTGACAGTAGCCAAGACATGGGAGCAACCCAAGTGCCCAAAAACAGGCAAATGGATTAAGAAGATGTGGATATATATACACACAATGGAATATTAGTCATAAAAAAGAATGAAATTCTGCACTTGCTGCAATGTGGTTGGGCCTAGAGAATATTATGTTCAGTGAAATAAGTCAGACAGAGAAAGACAAATACTGTGCGATATCACTTATATGTGGAATCTAAAAAATGATACAAATTAATGTATGTGCAAAACAGAAACAGACTTACAGATGATAGAAAACAAATTTGTGGTTACCAAAGGTGGGAGAGGGACAAATTAGGGGTATGGGATTAACAGATACAAACTACTCTGTATAAAATAGATGAGCCACAGGAATATACTGTGTGGCATAGGGAATTATAGCCATTACCTTGTAATAACTTACAATAAAGTATAATCTGCAAAAATACTGAATCACTATGCCGTACTCTTGAAACTAATATTGTAAATCAGCTGTACTTCAATTTAAAAAAAAACACAGGAAGCCCAGTTAAATTTGGATGTCAGATAAGTCACAAAGAATTTTTTAGTATAAATATGTCCCATTTGTCTGTTTAGTTGGTATTGTAATCTTACTGAGCATCTTGTATTTTATCTGGCGATCCTACTTTCATCACATAGTAAAGGTCAAAGCAAGTCATTCAAGGACAAGAAGAGGAGACAGCACTCTTTGATGGGTAAGTGGCTGGCTTGTACAGGGTAGGGTGAAGGTAATAATGGCTATTTTGCAAACAATCACACTTAACAAAAGTGCTGAAAATGTGCATCTAACTATAAAACCAGTGATTCTATTTCTAGGGATTGTTCTAAGCACATGATTAAAGACGTGTCAAAGATTTGTCTATGTGAATGCTTGTTGTAGAATTGCTTTCGATGGTGAAGAACAGGAAACAACCTACATGTGCAAAGATAAAAAATAACTATATTTATTGAGGTCCTAATATGTGCAAGACACTGCATTGAGCCCTGAGGAGGTACTGAACAAAACAGAAAATCTCTTGCCTCAGAAATCTTAAAGGCTCAAGGGGCAAAACTGACGTAAAACAAATAACCATACATTTGACTAACTGACTGTAAGTGTGCTAATTACCACACAGGAAAACTACTGAGTGCCATGGGATCACCAAGGGACCTAATCTACTGAGGGCTGGTTTAGGAGAAGGGGCGGGAAATAAAGGGAAAGGATGAGGGAAGAGAGCATCAGGCAGGGTAAACAGCAGAAGGATTCTAAATGTGTATTTATTTACCTAGAAAGGTGATCATAATAAACAGGTATGAGACTCATTAGATATCCAAGTGGAGATGCCAAATCGTATTTAGATATGTAAGCTGGGATCCTGGGGAAGGTTAGATTTGGATATACACACTTCAGAAGAAGGCAGCGATACAAGAAGAAAATCAGGGAGGACAGTATCACAGAAGCCAAGAAAAGAGTTTCAAGGAGAGGGTGGTTACACGGGAGAAATGCCACTGAGATGTTATGTGAGATGAAGGCGAAAAGTGACCACTGCATTTGGTAACATGGAGGACCTAAAACTCTTCCAGGAGAAGTTTCGGATGTAGTGGGGGGTGGGGGGGAAGGGGGACAAAGGTCTATTCGAAGTGGATTGAGCAATGAAAGTAGGTGCTGTAGTGGGGAAAAACATTCATTTGAGAAGTTTCACGGTGAGAGAGCAAGAAAATGGGGTAGCAGCTAGTCGGGAACAGGAGGCCAAGAGCAGGTTTGTTGGCTGATGGAAGCAATCCCCTGGAGAGTGGGAAATGGATAATGCAGGAGAGAGAGGTCTATTTCTATGAGTAAAGTCTTCAAGAAGATGAAATGGGATGAGATCCAGAGTACAAAGGAAGGGTTGTTCTTAGGAGCAGGGACATTTCCTCCTATGATAGCAGGTGAAAGACAATGGGTTCTGATTCAAGAGGCTGCAGAGACACAGTGGAAGGAAGATGAGAGAGTCCCTGTTTGTCTCTATTTCTCATGAAGCATGAATCAAGGTCATCAATAAGAAGAAGGAGGAAGGGGAAGATTAGAAAAAGGTCCCCCAAGTATACTTTATATTTCACGTCTTTGAAAATTGTGCATGCATAGACTCTCACTTACCCGATAAACTCTGCAGTTTCTCAGAATTCCAAACAGAAGAGAAAAGGGGGAGGTTTGGTAAGTATTAAGAACCATAGTGCACCAATTAGGATGAATTTATTGAGAAATTTTATTAAAAACCTTAAGGGAATTTAATAACCGTGCTTAAAAAATTCATCAGTGTCAATTCAGCAACAGCAAAATTTCTAAGTTATAGAAAGAAGTACATGTCAAAATATTGTTCGGACTCATGCATCTTAGAATGAACAGAGACCCAATGATGTCTGGTTTAGTAACTTAACCAATGAATTAAATTGCTTATTTCCATATTAGCAAAGAGACTAAATGAGTAATTGGATAATACATCTATCATGACCAAAGCGGACCAGACATGAATAGGCTCTTGTGAGATTAAAGTCAATGTCATATAATGCAATACACTACTGTAAATTGCACAAACTACCTAAGTTGACACTAAGAGTTGATACTCCTGGGAATGTTTTTTCAGAAGCTATTAGAAAAAAAAATGAAATTTGAGAAGAGCTTTTGGGTCATCAGTGCTCTATATTTAGAATCTTCAAAAAATCACAGATTCCAGTACTTTGTCACCAAGAGAGAAACAGAATGGGGTTGCCTCCTCTTTTTAATGCTTTTCTTTTTTTGTTGAACACACCAACATTTTCTGTGATGGGACAGATTCCATTCTAAGTCTTAAAAATTGATGTTAACTTTTCAGATGATTAAAAATACGTTATAATGATTTAAAGTGTAACAGTAACATTACTCACATTGCAATACAAATTTTTAAAAGAGCAAATATTTATTGTGCACTTACGTACCAAGCACTGTTCTTTGTGCTAGGTGCATGTATTACCTTACATAAACTTCAAAACTCCTAAAACACCTTTATGAGGTAGGTTCTATTACTGTTTACATTTTGCGAAATAGGGAACCTTGGTTCATCAAATCCAATATAAAAAAGAGACTCCTCCACACATTGCATACCTGTTCTGTGCTGAGTATACTACTATGTTCAGGGGATTTTGTGTGCTAAAAATGAATGAGGTCCCTAACACAGAGCCTCCTGGAGGAGATAAATGAATAAATAGATGACCTGCATTTTAATGCAGTACATTCTGTGAGAAGATGAATAATTAAGTCTGCTTAGAGACTCAAAAAAGTTTTGAAAAGAAGGTGACGTATGAGCTTGTGGGATGAGCCGCTGTTGGGAGAAAGGCAGAGGAAACAGGAGTAAAGGTCTGTAGCTGGGACAAGGTTCTGGCCACACAGAAAACTGAGAGTTTAGAGCAGCTTAAGTAGGAAGTACAATTTATGGAGTGTGGGAAATAAAGCTGGAAAAATAGGTGGGAGGCAGATTGTGGGGGTCTCGGCTGTAGGGTTTGGAATGCAGTCTGTAGTCACTATAGCATCAGAAACTTATATGCACGGGGCGACATGGTCAACTTTGATTTTCAGGAAGATAACTCTGGAACCAGTCTGCGATGCTCACTGAAGGCAACAGGCTGGAGGCCTGGAGAAACCTGGGTACAATTAACATCCAGATGTAAGAGGATGAGGACCACAAATAAAGTACTGTTAAGTAGAAAAGCCGCATTTTATGATGCGTTTCTGAGCAAAGACACTAAACTTCAACTTTTCCTTACCTAAAATCAGAATTCTCCACAACATATTTGTGTCTGTGGATTGAGGCTGACAATTACCAGATGGTATCATTGGAAGGTTTTTCGCTAAGGAAACAATGACATCATGACAGCCACCTGGCTGACAGCAATCATAAAGAAGTTGCATTCTGACTTCAGATATGTTAAAATGTGAAAGGAGAATGGTGTGTTTAGAATCGATAAAATAAGCACTGTATTAAAAATACAAAATCTAACCGCTTGTCCCTCCTTCCAGTTCACCACCCTGGTCTGAGCGAACGTTATCTCTTTCCTAGATTATTACAGCAGCCTTCTTACGGGTCTTCCTACTTCCGCCCTTAATGCCCCCTCCTCTCCCCCTGAATCTATCCTCAAAAGGGTCAAATCATGGCATTCCTCTCTTCAAAATCCCCAGTGGCATACTGTCTCACTTACAGAAAAAAAAAAATATCCAAATCCTTAGAGGCTACCAGGCCCTGCAGGATTAGACCCCTCATTAGTTCTCAGTCCCATGACCACATCTCCTACTCCTCTCCTGCAGAAAAACAGGCCTCCTCCAACACAACGCGTAACATGCCACCTCAGGCAGTTTGTACCTCCTGTTCCCTCTACGTGAACCCACTCTTCTCCCAGGTATCTGCAAGGCTCAATTCCTGAAGTCCTTCACCAAAAGCCGTATTTTCAGGGAGTCCTCTTTTGCCTTCCTTTGTCTAAAATTGCTAGCCCCCGCCCCCCGCAAATTCTCATGTATTCCCTATCTGCCTCTCTGCTTTATTTATTTAATTTTTTGGTTAGCACTTACCACTATGTAATATACCATATGTTTTACTTGTATATCTTATTTATTGTCTACGATGTTAGACAGTAATCTAGCTTCTGGTTAAAAACCGTGTGTGATTTTTCAGGCCTGACCACAGACGATTACAAAGGCTTTAACCTGGGAGGCCTCAGGGGGGAAAGCGGCCCTCCCCACACAGTCTCAAGGACTCAGAGCCCTTGGGCAGTCACGCTTTTCCACTCCGAGCCCTGGGGCCTTCATTCCTGGTTGGTTATTTTATTTTATTTTATTTATCTAAGGTCTTGGGCCGAGATAGGCAGGCACCTCGGCTGTGACCTCCTTATGGGGAGAGGGGAAAACCCTGAATACACTTTCTTCACTCTGACTTGGTACCAGGTACTTTTCCACTCTTAACATCCCCTTCTCCACCTCATTTTGCCATCTTCTCCCTTTTCTCCACAGTCCATAAAACTGCCAACAACCCCCTACATCTGCACTGATCCACCTGACCCTCACAGGCGTGCCATTTTGCGGGGGAAATGAAACAGGAGGGCGCCTGCACTCACTCCAGTATGACTCTTGCTTGTTACATCACAGGAAGTGATGAAAGGCTTAACTCTGGTATTTGGCTTGTTGTTTTAAAGGGCTACTAGGACAGTCTTCTTTCTCTCCCAGCTCAGCTAAGTTCCTGATAGCTTCACAAGGGCAAGGATTTAGCTTTTTCTTTTTTTTTTTTTTAACACTTTCCTTTTTAGTGCAGTTTTATGCACACAGCAAAATGGAGCCCCCATACATGTGTAGTCTCCTCCATTATCAACATTCCCCACCAGGGGGTACGTATTACCCAGAATCCATAATTTACCCAAGGATTCACTCTTGGTGTCGTACAATGTATGCATTTGAACAAATTTATAATGACATGTATCCACCACTAAGGTATCATACAGAGTAGTTTCACTGCCCTGAAGTCCTCTATGTCTTGTCTATTCATGCCTTCTTCCCCTGCAGCCCTGGCAACAAGTAATCTTTTTACTGTCACCATAGTTTTGCCTTTTCCAGAATGTAGTATCACTGGAATCACCCAGCATGTAACCTTTTCAGATTGGCTTCTTTCACTTAGTAATATGTATTTTAGGTTCTTCCACGTCTTTTCATGACTTGATTCCTCATTTCTTTTCAGCACTGAATAATACGCTATTTTTAAGATGTATCACAGTTACTCATTCACCTGCTGAAGGATATCTTGGTTGCTCCAAGTTTTGACAATTATGAGTAAAGCTGCTATAAATACCTGACAGCAGGTTTCTGTGTAGACATACATTTCCAACTCCTCTGAGTAAATACCAAGGAGCATAACTGCTCGATCAGATGGTGTGTCTAATTTTGTAAGAAACCACTGAACTGCCTTCCAAAAGTGGCTGTACCGTTTCTCATTCCCATCAGCAGTGAATGAGAGCTCTTGCTGTTTCACATCCTCATTAGCATTTGGTGTTGTTGGCATCCTGGATTTTGACTATCCTAATAGGTGTGTACTGGTACCTCATTATTATTTTAATTTGCATTTCTTTGATGACGTGATGTAGTGCATCTTTTCACATGCATACTTGCCATCTGTCTTCTTCAGTGAGGTGTCTGTTAAAGCCTTGGCTTATTTTTCAATCAAGATGTTTGTTTCTTACTGTTGAGTTTTTAAGAGTTCTTTGTATATTTTGGGTAACAGTCCTTTATCAGATGTGACTTTTGCAAATATTTTCTCCCAGTCTGTGACTTGCCATTTCAATTCTCTTGAGTGTCTTTGGCAGAACAGGATTTTTTAATTGTAAAAAAGTCCAGCTTAATTATATCTTACAGGGATCATAGCTTTGGTGTTGTATCTAAAGTCATTGTTATACTAAGGTCATCTAGATTTTCTCTTATGTTACCTTCCACAGTTTTACAGTTTTTGCATTTCACATTTAGATCTGTGATCTGTTTTTAGTTAATTTTTGTAAAGTATGTAAGGCCATCTGTAGACTTTTTGTATGTGTATATCCATTTGTTGAAAATACTGCCTTTTCTCCACTATATTCTTTTGCTCCTCTATCAAAGATCAGTTGACTAGATTTTTGTGAGCTTATTTCTGGCTCCTCTGTTCTACTCTATTGATCTATTTGTATTTCACCAGTACTGTATTATCTTGATTACTGTAGCTTTATAGTAAGTCTTGAAGTCAGATAATTTCAGTCCTTCAGCTTTGTTCTCCTTCAGTTGCGTATTTACTATTTGGGGTTTTTTGTCCCTCTCTATAAACTTTAGAATCATTTTTCTAATTACTCTAAAATAACTTGCTGGGATTTTTTTTGGGACTACATTAAATCCACAGATCAAGTTGGAAATAAATGACATCTTAACAATACTGAGTTTTCCTATTCATGAACATAGACTATCACCCTATTTATGTAGTCCCTTGATTTTGTTCACCAGATTTCTGTAGTTTTCCTCATATAGATATTGTACATATTTTGTTAGACTTATAGCTAAGTATTTCATTGTGCAGGATGATAATGTAAATAATACTGTGTTTTTAATCTCAAATTCATCTTGTTCCTTGCTAATATACAGGAGAGTGATTGACTTTGTATATTGTACATTAACCTTGTTTCTTGTGGCCTTCCTATAATTTATTAGTTCCATAATGTTTTTTGTTGATTCTTTCAGAAATTTTCTGCAAAGATGATCCTGTCATTTGTGAACAAAGACAGTTCTATTTCTTTCTTCCCCATCTTATGCCTTTCCTTTCCTTTCCTTTTTTCTTACTGCATTGTCTAGGACTTTCAGTATGATGTTGAAAAGTATTGATGAGAAGGGACATCTTTGCCTTGTTCACGATCTTAAAAGAGAAAACATCTAGTTTCTTGCTATTAAGTATGACGTTAGTTGTAGGCTTTTTGTCCATGTTCTTTATCAAGTTGAGAAACTTCTCTATTCCTAGACTGCTGAGAGTTTTTATTATGAATGGATGTTGGATTTTGTCAAATGCTTTTTCTGCATCTATTGATATAATCATGATTTTTCTTCTTTAGCCTGTTGATACAGTGGATTACATTAATTGATGTTTTTCTCCTTACAAAAATTTTTTTTGGAAGTATAATTGATTTACAATATTGTGTCAGTTTCAGGTGTACAACAAAGTGATTCAATTATATATACATATATTTTTTCAGATTATTTTCCATTATAGGCCATTACAAGATATTGAACACACTTCCCTATGCTATACAGTAAATTTTTGTTGCTGATCCATTTTATATATTGTAGTTTGTTATCTGTTAATCCCATTCCCAACTTACCCCTCTCCCCTTCCCTTTCTCCTTTTGTAACTACAGGTTGTTTTTTTTTTTACGTCTATGAGTCTGTTTCTGTTTTGTACATAGATTCATTTGTATTATTTTTTTAGGTTCCACATATAAGTGATATTATATAATATTTGTCTTTCTCTGGCTTACTTCACTTAGTATGATGTTCTCTAGCTTCATCCATGTGCTGCAAATGGCAATATTTCATTCTTTTTATGGCTGAGTAATATTCCATTGCGTGCACGTGTGTGTGTGTGTGTGTGTGTGCATAGAATCTTCTTAAGCCAACTGTCTGTTGATAGGCACTTGGGTTGCTTCCATGTCTTGGCTATTGTAAATAGTGCCACTATGAACATTGGGGTGCATGTATCTTTTCAAATTAGAATTTTTATCTTTTCCAGAGATATGGTCAGAAGTGAGATTGCTGGGTCATATGGTAGCTCTATTTTTAGTTTTAAAATAAATCTTCATACTGTCCTCCATAGTGGCTGCACAATTTACATTCCCACCAACAGTGTAGGAAGGTTTCCTTTTCTCCATACCCTCTCTAACATTTCATTATTTGATTTTTGAATGTTGAATCCGCCTTGTTTACCCAGAATAAATCCTACTTGATTGTGCTGTATAATCCTTTTAATATCTCGTTGGATTTGATTTTCAAATATTGTTGAAGACTCTTGCTTTTATGTTCATGACACTGTTTGTAGTTTTCTTATCTTGTAATGTCTTTGTCTGGCTTTGATATTAGGGTAATTCTGGCCTCACAG